TGATTTATGACGATACGTCTGCGTCGCTAAAAAATCGACGATTAATCACGATGCATTTACAGTACTAAAAAAATTGGTGATTAATCGCGATATATCTGAATTACTCAAAAAGTCGACGATCAATCGCGATTAATCGTTAACTTTTCTGCAAATCGCGATAAATCATCAAAACTGAGGCGATTTTGACGACATGGGGCATGCTCCTAGATATTTTTTTTGTTAAAATAGTAGACGCACTAAGTACATGTTTTTATAAGTAAATCAAAATTGAAAGACTGTGCTTTAAATAAAATAAACGTAAAATATAAAATGATTATTTTATTTATATCTTAAAGTTACGCCAACATATATATGAATTGAAAAAACAATAAATTTTTCATCTATTATATTCAAAGAATAAACTGATCTAAATGATCTTTCATTTAATAAAGTATATTGATAGAAAAATTTTTCAACAGTCTTACTCCTATTTTATATTTTGAACTTCTTTTTCGTCATTGGTATAATTCGAGATCATTTAACATATTGCTATTTTCTTTTGAAATGTTAACTCTTGACGGATATGTGAGAAATTACTCAAAAAAGAAAAGCAACGCTTAAATGTAATGACGAATTTGTCATTCATTAATTCATTTGATTCCCGTGAAAAGTCATCCTCCTTATTATCATTGGCTTTTTTTTTATTCTTTTTCTCTTGTGCATATATATATATATATCTTTGTTTCTTCATTACTCATTCTAGCATTTTTTTTATTCATCGTTTCACACATCTTTCTTTTAAGCTCCGTTGTGTGCTTCATCGATGAATTTATGAAAGCAGAGTATGGTAAAATTCTAAATTTTTGCAGCATTCAATATATTTATTTTTATAGAGAAATCATATGATGAATCTCTCGATATCTATTCTATTAATATATAATAATCGAATTATTTTATTTGATAAAACAAAGAATATAATGTCCTTGATTATCATCTTTCTAGTCACTCAGTTATTTCAAACATTTCGTCCATAGTGATGACTATCATATCTTAATGACTACTGAATAAACTTCAATATTGTTTGTTTGCTGTTTGTTTTTTAGAAATGTCCGAAAAAGGTCCATGTACTAATACAAATTGTGATAATGAAATAAAAGAATTATATAAATGTCATTGTTGTTTAAAACGTGTATGTTTAACTCATTTGATTGAACATGTTGAAATAAGAAAACAAAATAAACAACGATTAGATAATCTTTGTTATGAATTAAATACAGGTATAAATACACTTAATTTAATTGTTGAAGAAAAATTATTTATTATTAAACGTGAGCAAAACTTGATTGAACAAGCCAAACAACTTGTTAATACATCTAATAGTACAATTGCTGAACTACAGAATAGTATCGAACAAATTAACTTAGCTATACTATCAAATCGCCCAGGTAAAAAAAAACTGAATTTGATAATCATTGGTTTATTGTTTTTTTTTTATTGTAGAAGAAATTATGTTGAAAGTCGAACCTATATTATCCGAAATGAAAGATTGTTCGTGTGTTTCTGAATGTAATATGGAAACTATCAATTCAAATGGTAAATTGAAACTTTTCTCTGCGTGAATTGCAAAAGACTAATCGTCATTGAGAAGTAGTTCTTCAGAAATGGACGCCAAAAAGATTTCATTAGAGTAGAAGATTTATAATTACTGAGTCAAATTATAACTATTTTACTGAAATTTTGATTTGCAAGTGTTTGCAGACTTGAGTTACATGATCCTTAGTCATATTGTTTTCACTGTAGATTTTAGATTATTCGAGATACTGTTAAGATCCTCCTTAAAAAAAGTTACTTTTCGTTGCATTGATCAAAACTGAGATAAATACAATCAAAGATAATAGTTGATCTGGTCTTTCAGAAACAACAAATATGTTTATTCAGTGACTTCAGAATTTTTTTCATTTCATACTATGGAGAAAGTGTAACCCAAGTGTCTGTCCAGATTCGTTTCTTTTTTGTTTTAAAGAGCATGTCAAGATACAGGACATACAGAATGTGATCATGTGCAGGAACGTGTATTTGAAGAAATTTTTGAATTCACGAACGTTTCAGGAAATGTTTTTGTTCAGTATGAAGAAAAATCATACAGTGAGGGCCCAAAAAAGCATGCACTTTTTTATTTTTACACAAACGAATAATAAGGATGTTCTAAAAATTTTCTCTTATATCTAACTTTGTAGAGCTTTTTTCGCTGATCATTTTGGCAAAAAAAAATTTTTGATTTTCATTGAGTAATGACAATGTTATAGTCAAAATACTAAACACTGTAGTAAAAAGTAGGGAAAAAGTTTAGCACACTTTTAGTATTTGGCTAATTTTTACATTATTTCACAACATCTGAAAGATGTTTTCTATATCATTCGATGCAGAATTTAATGGGCTACATTTTGGTAGAAAGTGCTTATACTTATATTGTAGTTAATTAATTAATAGTTATATGGTAGTTAATTAGTAGTTAATAATAATTAGCAATCAAATAATAAAGTTTCGATTTATTTTTAAATTCCAACTCTATCATTCGAAAGAGCATAAAAAACTGAACAAAACTCTATGATTACCATTTGGAAAGCAACGAATTTGGGGAGGTTTTCGTGTGATTTTCAGAGTATGCTCACTTGTAACTAGATATAATATTCATTATTTTTAATAACTTCAGTCATGAAATGACACATGAAATACGTGAAAATCAGCGCATTTTAAAGAGCATCATTTGCTCTTTCAAATAACATACAATGAGGTCCTAAACAAGCACATACATTTTATTTTTTTACATATGTATATTTTTATTTTTTTGTATGTATACAAATTATAAACATCTACATATAGACAAGTTATAAACAGAAAAGTTACTTATATTTAGCAACTATATCACCATCATTGTCGATTATTGTTTGCAATCGTTTTGCATATCCAGCAATGTGATTTTTTGCAATAATTTTGTATTTATCTGATTTCCATATTTGTGAAACTATTTTACTCATATGAATCAAAACATCATCAGATTCAACCAAATGTGTATTTCTTAGTATAAGTACTTTCTACCAAAATGTAGCCCATTAAATTCTGCATCGAATGGTATAGAAAACATCTTTCAGATGTTGTGAAATAATGTAAAAATTAGCCAAATACTAAAAGTGTGCTAAACTTTTTCCCTACTTTTTATTACAGTGTTTAGTATTTTGACTATAACATTGTCATTACTCAATGAAAATCAAAAAGTTTTTTTATCAAAATGATCAGCGAAAAAAGCTCTACAAAGTTAGATATAAGAGAAAGTTTTTAGAACATCCTTATTATTCGTTTATGTGTAAAAATAAAAAAGTGCATGCTGTTTTGGGCTCTCACTGTAGGTTGTTATTCTCTGTGATGATCTCTCTGTCATTGTACTATTAACTCTTTTCCTTCTTCTTACTCAGTTTCATGTATTCTGTTTTATTTTACTCCGTGTATGTGAATGGTATGTACAAGAGAGATATCTAGCTTTCTATTGCTCCGATATGGGTGTGGATAGAAATAAACCCATATCCACATCCAGTTCAGTCCTTTATCGGACAGGCAGTCAGTGAATGATTACTTTAGCAATAAGAAAGAGAAACTTCAGTTATTTTGTAAAACACAACCTGAAAGGATTATTGAAGGTTAGGAGTAGAAATTTGGTCCGAATCTCGCTCGCTTCAGAAATCGTGATAGAGATTGCAATTCTATAGAATGAAATACAAAATAATGAATGAATTGAGTTCAAGATATATTGAAGAAAACCTTATTCATATGATTAGTAACAACAGCTGCATCGTGTTTCGCAGTTTAACTGCGTAAGGATTGCGCTAATAGTTTTTATTAAAAGCGTGAATAGTTTAAAACGTGGGGAACTTGTATTTACTGGCTCAATGATGCTAGATGGTAAATGAAAAAAAAACAAGTATTAAGGTTACTAAAGTCAATCGAAGATAAGTGGAATCGGGTTTTTTTGTACCTGAAGATCACTTTTCTACGTTTAAAAAGATATGGCGACATCATGTCTTGCATCTTTAGATGCTCTTCCAAACAAGAGAAAATATTGATGCATAAAAAGCACCTAAGCAAAGAAATTTGGGTTGCCAAATGTGCCATGTTTGATTAATATGTTCCTGAAATGTAATGATCAAGAGATGAAAATTTTATGGGAGCTTTTTCTGAGTTAAGATCAATGTTTCAAAATGGGGTAGTCTTAAAGCAATTAATAGACAAAATTAGAAATCTTGAGTCGAAAATACAGTATGACAAGCGCAACACGACTTCTTTCAAATTTTATTCTTAGCAAGTTATTTGTTTAATTGGTTTAACGTGAGTTCAGAGAAACTTTGTAAATACATGGTTGTTATTTAATGTTTAGATATAACAAAAGAAGTTGAAATCTCTGAAGGTAAGCTAAATAATTTTAATCTGAAGAAATAAAATAAACATGATCTATTTAAGATGATAAACATTCAACTTCTATCAATCATGATGTTTTAAATAGTATTTCATCCAAGTAAGTTTCTTTGTGGGTTGAAAAAGATTTTAAATTGATTGCATATTTTTCTTTCTTTTTAGTGAAAATATGGAATTTGATAAGGTAAAATTAATTATATACATTGAAGACTAAATAGAGTCACGTTTCTTTTTGTAAATTGAAATACATTAAATAAAGTCGTATCGTGTAAAATCATTCATTTAATATAACTGTATAAGTTCGAAATCAACATCTTCCTACAATAATAAAGATATTCAAAGTAGCTTTAATATATAGATAGAAAGTCAAGAGTAGAAAAGATTCAAGTTGATAGATCGAATTCGGATGTGATTGAACAGTTTTCGTTTTTCTGTACTAATACAGAAAAATGAGATTTTTGTGCAAATGGAAATAATTCTATTTCTCGACTAAAGCAACTGGTGCCTACATCCATCTTTTCGGATAGTTACTTTTCTCATTCGCTTAAGTTTTAGTATTGACAGGAAAATATTTTGAAAAATGAGCCATTTTCTTAGAGAATATGATAAAAATGAGTAGTTTTTGACTATGAAAAATCTGTTTTTGTATGAAAATAAAGTTTATGCAAAAAGTAAACAAATTTCTGAATAAATGAAATTTTAAAAGAAGAGTTTTTTGTCGAAAATACTTTGTACGCATGAATTAGAGGAATTTCTAAATAGAAATATTTTTACTTCCTAGTTAAGTTCTATTTTAAGTTCAAAAACAATTCATTTTCAGTGAAATACTATATTAATTCAATATCCATGATTATTAGAGTTCATCCTTCATAATATTATTATGTTTTTAACATTTTAAAATACTTTTTATAAACTTGGTTTAATGTCTTCAGTGTACGTGTTAATTGATTTGATTTTCTATGATATAAATTTTGTAAGATATTTAAGCGATTATTATATTTTCTTTTTAGAACAAGTACGTAAATGAAGAAAAAAAGAAAAGTAAACGAAAATCATACAGAGCAATTGTGGATGAATGTCCATTAATATTTGATGGAGTATATGGTCTTACTAAATCAAATCATTTAATTGAATTTTGTGAATATGAAAAAGATTGTCGAGTCTTACTTTATAATCATTTCATCAGAAAACATAAATTAAAAGAAATTTGTGCTAAACGTTTAACAGAAGCTGTTGCTGATAATCTTGATCCAAGAACAACAAAATTATTTAATGAAAATGAAAGTATAATTGATTATCTTTGGGAAGTTCCATGTCCTTTTATAAACGGAACACTTGACTTACCAGAATATCGTCAAAAATATACAAAAAATATCCCATGTTCACATAAATTAGTTCGACTTGATCATTTAAAAAATCATTTACGATGTCATCATGATGTTGAAAATAGATTTGCACAAAAGTTAGTTGATGTTTTCAAAGAGCTTCGATCAAAATATAATACAACGACATCTTTATTTATTCCATCAACATGAATGATCAAAAGAGCAAAGTCTTTAGAATGTTCGTCTCATTATTTTTTTTTTGTTTATGTAAATAAATTATTCAATAATTTGAAACATATTCAAATGTTCTCAGTAGGACTGATGAGAAAAGAGAACGAACTGATCAATCGCTTTTTAGTTGAAACAATGTGCATTATATGTTGGTATACATGAGCTAGGAACATCGCGAAAAAGTTCAGGCCGCTAGACCATTATTATGGAAATATTGTACTTTTAAAATGAGTGTCATGAGAAACATCATAAAAAGTGATTTTTAAACTTCTATTTGAAATTTTATAAAGAAACAGATCTTACTAAGCATAGACCTTTTTGATGTTTTTATCTATAGTTGCAATTATGATAACTTCGTTCGGATATGCCACATAATCTGAAACCTTCACAAAATCCTATGCTCAGTAAGATCTGTTTATGTATAAAATTTCAGGTAGAAATTTAAAAATCAGTTTTTTTTAATGTTCTTTATGATACTTATGGTAAAAGTTTAGTATCTCTCTAACAGTGAGCTAGCAGCCCGAATCTTTTTTTACAATTTTCATAACTTATTTATATCAATATAATACGCATCGTCTCAACTCAAAGACAATTGATCAGTAAACAACTCTTTCTCGTAAGTTAAACTTCAGAGAATTAGACACCATTGCTTACTGATCAACAGTGGTGAAAAGTAGATGTGTGAGTATAGCAAAAAAATCTACATGCAGACGTGCAAACATTGTTCAAGAAGACAAGAATCTTTTATGGATTTTAAAGAGTCGAAAAAAAAAATTATACTTAGGGGTTGTTATTTGTCTCATGAATAAATGAAAAATCCGCACAATCTTCGATAGATAAAACTTATTTGGATACGCTATGCATTATGTATTTTGGAAATGTTTTCTACGAAACGTATAGATGTCATAGGATAATATATCAATTGAAAAATACAATAAAGAGAAATAATGTATGTAATTTATAACATTAGTACACGAAAATTGGCAGAGTGATATCATATGAATATATTAGTGAGAGTGAATTATTATGCGACGTAATAAAAGTATTGTCGGTTTATGAAAGTCCTGATGATAGGAATGTAATTAACAATGTATGATTGATTCTCCGTAGTGTTGACAAACACTTGAAATGATGAATGATCATCAACATGCTGCTACTTGTGTAAGATAATAAAAGATCTATAGCATGAAATCATGTGACTTTCATTTCGCATATATAGAGTTCAATTATCACGTGAAATATATATTCACTTTAAATAATTACATGTAAATTATACTGTGATTTTGATTGAGGTTGATCATTGGACAGAACTCCTGCGATAAGTTTAGTACTAGAAATGGTTCAAAATAAACAAACATTGAATATTGAAATTTGTGAGAAGTTTGTCATATCGGATTAGATGGTTAAATTAGAATTTGTCGAATAAAATAATCTGATGCTTTGATAGTTGTATGGAATAAACTCAGATAGTTTTTAATCCTGTCTTTTTTTGAAAATTCAAAAAAACTTGAAAAACATATCTTACTCAGCAAGATGTTCAATGTTGAAACTTTTACAAAGACGCTGCACGTATCTATTTCATTTGATAGCTTTACTATCTATTTTTTCCTCACACTTACACTAATTTATTTTTAATTATTTGAATTTATGAACTCATTTGACTATAAAGATTTTTCAAATGTTAAAAAAGAATATCCTTAACGATTCAATAATGACATTATTCAATAGATATCATAGCATATACATCGTTGTTTGACGTTACTCATGATATTATTTAATCTACTAATGAAAATATAGGATTTTGTTTTCTTAATCTTACGACTATTTTCACTCAAAACTAACCAAAAAATAGGTATTGGGTGTGGGTGTGGGTGTGTGGGTGTAGGTGTGGGTGGTGTGGGTGTGGGTGGGTGGGGGTGTGGGTGTGTGTGTGCTCGTTGAAGCATAAAATAACACGATGCAGCCGACATGCGAGTGTCCCACTCCGTTGTTTTTCAAGTATTAAATAGTAATGTGCATAACAAAAATCGTTGTTCGTGTACATGAAATTTCTGTTGTATTCTAGAGACAGAATCTCGTTAGCTCGAGTTCGGTTTCGATTTCATTTGAGTAGTACCAGAGGGCGTGGGTGTAAATGAAGAGAAGACCCACACTTACACTCACACCCACCCCCCACATTCACGCCGGCATCCACGCACCCTGTTGTGAAACTCTTTCACAGTGACCTATTAACATATAACTATACATTCCTTATTACTAATAAAAAGAATTTCTGAATATGAAGATTAATAAAATCAGTATTCTACTATTAGAAACTCTATGTAGAGACAGATCATAGAGACAAACAAAAAACAGCAATATAAAATAGGAAGCTTGAAAGAATCGAAATTGACAGTTTATAAGCATAACTGAATTATTAAAATCTAGTGGTGACTAGCTTCAAAATTAAATAATGTCTTTCATATTTAGAATTCTTTGTAATACAATACATTCTTGGAACAGTAGAAAATTTGCCTAACTGCACTAAAAAAAGCACATTATATATATGTATGACAAAAACTTTCTGCTTCTTTTATAGAGTAATTGCTATATTAATGAAGTCATCTTGAGATATCATGATTGAAGATCACGAATTTTGAACCCACCAAGCCCTTGAATAACAATAAACCGTCTTGAAAACGAGAATGAATGCAGAAAACCTAGCATAAGGTGATCAATTCAACAAAATTGAGGACAAAACACCACATGCAACAGATCATATGACTGAGGGTACTGTGAGAACTTCAGAAAAGTTTTTTTTTATACACTTTATCTAGAGATTATTCAAAGCATTTATTTTTCATTTTCTTTGACAATAAGTGGCTAATGACGTTCTCTGAATTATCGTTTAACTATAGGCTTTTTAACGTGTTCTCGCTTCAGTATATTAGTAAATGTTTAGCTTTACAGAATTCTAGAAAGGTAGAATGCGCGAAATTCAATTAATTCTCGTCTATGACCTTTAATTAGGAGTATCACAAGATGTTTTCTCTGTCATTATCGTAATAAAACAAAAGCGCAATATAAACAAGGTTCGATTTTTTCTGTAAATACATTTACTTTGTATTATATTTAGCACAATATTCAAGAAAATAGGAAGCTGAATAAAATTTTGAGAACTGATTTGAATAATGTAGTTGATTATTTCATTTTGGGTAATATGTAATTATCAAAATAAAAATATTACTCTCACTGAGTCATAGAATAATCAAAGATATTTTTTCCTTAGTTGAAGGGTGTCTTGAAGATGAAAGGCATTTGACACTAACAATGGAGGTGTTTGTGTTGTAAGTTAAATCAGCTAGACATATTCGGGTCAAATGAAAGCTCTCACCGTCAAACTAACAAGGTTAAAATATTAGCAGCAGTTGGCTTGCCTAGAGTGAGATATTCAAATTTTTAGGTATTTACAGTGTATGTAAGATATCCACAATTGAACATTTCGACCAAGTTAATGTTTCTTTTTTTGTGGTGGTTGGATAGAGCTCGTCGAGTTGCATTAGAAAAAGTATGTTTGAAATTTTAAAAATGGGCTTAAAAGTACTTTTTACGAAGGTCACAAATTTGGGTCTATTTCTCCTAATATTTGAAAATAATGGTAACTGGAACCTATTTCTAAAACTTTTTTAAAGTCCATTTTTAAAATTTCAAACATACTTTTTTAGCTCACTCATACACTCATTCGCAAATAAGCAAGCCAGGCGTAAGTTACATAGAGAGAGTCTCAAAAACGTGAGCTCCGCGTGTAAACCCAAACTTTTGACCTCAGTTTTTAACTACATTCACCTAATTAGTACTCACTAATTAGTATTGAATTCCAATGCTAGGATTCGATCAGATTCTCACACTCAGAATCCGGATGTCATTCCGTCACCCAGTTTCCGGCAATACTTCTGCAGGATTCTGAAGGATTTTATAGGATTCCTGATGAGATTCGATCAGACCTTATCAGAATCTGATAAGATCTGACTGTTGGATTGATTTTCCTGGCTAGGAGGAAGCAATATATATTTTCACTTTTTGAAACATTAGAAGATATTCAGTCACACCCAGCAAGTCTCCTCATTTTTCATTTTGTTTTTTTCTTTTTTGTTAATCTACCCATATTTGTGTGATGCCTCTTTGACTTTTCTCACTTGATCAATAAAGGAATGTGTTCTCTTCCTTTTTTATTTGGTGAACCACACAATCAATAGAAGATAACAGCATGCACATTTCAACTCAGTTGTGCAAGTTATATTTCAAAGTGAAACTTCTTGTTACATGTTGTGCTCACTCGAAACAATCTGTGAGTAACATAAATCCTTTTTTGAGATAAGAAAATCTCAATCAACTCTTTTTTCTAAGCTTTATTCCGCCATTTACTCAAATCACTAACTTTTGGACCTTGCACCAGAAAAATTCAACAGTCGTCAGAAAGAAAATGACGGCTACTAGATTCTCGTAGAATATATTGATATATGGTACTACTCATATTAGTTGAAAGACATGTGTATTGATGTAGACGCGAGAGAGTTGAATGCACTGACCTTTGCCTAGAAAAAGTCTAACTTCTTTTTGCATACTCCATTCCAGATTGTCTACTGCATTTGTAACCTAGAATGTCTTCTAATAATCAGCCAAAAGAACCAGTTTACCAAGAAATTCAAGCTGGATTAGTTGCAGACGACAGTAACAAACCTGCTGCAAAACGTTTGAAGAATGCAACATATACGAGGAGGTAATGACAAAGTCAATTTTCACACTATTCAAGACTGTAAAACAATGTCGTTTTCGATTACTTATTTTTCCTAGAACATTCATAAACAACGTCGAGTATTAAGAAAATAAGTGTCGATCGATACGGGAAAACCGGACAGGTGAAAATGAGTCCGGAAGAGCTCAGAATGTTTCCACATACAACTCATTTCTTCCATCACCTCGTAGAATTGACTTTCTTT